AAACGCACAAATCTCGTTTATTTAGGCATATCCTAGACCTTGGTTCCAAGCCATATTGATATGATAATATCTCTATGATAAAGTATCTTAAATGATGTTCATTATTTCAAGTTTACAAGGCTATACTTTCGTGATAATATAATAATAATAAAAGTGATTGCATCAAATACAATGTTCATGTTTCCTTTCGCAAATGGTTAAATTTCGAATGGTAAGACTGTACCTCGTCAACAATTATTTCCAACGGGTGTTTACTCAGCATTTGTCGAAACTATGAGATATTCCACATAGATATACAATAATGCAGTTTTGCTCGACTCTGTTATAGTGTTGCGATTAACAATTGTGGTTGATGGTTAGTTTAGTGTAACTTTTATCACAACCAAAAATTTGATTATTTTAAACATGAAATTACAAAACGATTTTTAATTAATAGAACATGCAAGTGGGAACTAATTTTTCTGTGGGTGAGGGCGACATTGGTGAGTGTAACATGTGTGAGGGCAACATGTGTGAGGGCAACATGGGTGAGGGCAACATGAGGTGAGGCAACATGGGTGAGGGCAACATGGGTGAGGGCAACATTGGTGAGGGCAACATTGGTGAGGCAACATGGGTGAGAGCAACATGGGTAAGGACAGCATGGGTGAGGCAACATGGGTGAGGCAACATTGGTGAGGGCAACATTGGTGAGGGCAACATTGGTGAGGCAACATGGGTGAGAGCAACATGGGTAAGGACAGCATGGGTGAGGCAACATGGGTGAGGGCAACATGGGTGAGTGCAACATGGGTGAGGGCAACATGGGTGAGGGCAACATGGGTGTGGGCAACATGGGTGAGGGCAACATGGGTTATGACCAAATAACTGATTAATGCAGACCATCTTCATGATGTCGACATTTATCATTGCCTTGCGCTTCATCTTCTGGTTCGATTAGATTCATTCTCTGCTTCATTGAATGGTTTTCTTCATTTTTATATATCTAATTTCGGTTCAGTGTATTCAATTTTAATTTTCAATAACACTTCAAGTTTGACTGAGTCAGTCTTTTTGTTTTATCAGGAATTATCAGTAATATTTTTCGTGTTTTATGAAGACTAAATTTGGCCGTGTGATAGGGAGGCCAGTGTACGTGTGATGGGGAGGCCAGTGTACGTGTGATGGGGAGGCCAGTGTACGTGTGATGGGGAGGCCAGTGACGTGTGATGGGGGAGGGGAGGCCAGTGTACGTGTGATGGGGAGGCCAGTGTACGTGTGATGGGGAGGCCAGTGTACGTGTGATAGGGAGGCCAGTGTACGTGTGATGGGGAGGCCAGTAGCCAGTAGGCCAGTTGTAGTAGTTAGCATGATAGCCTTACTGAACTCTCCTGACATTAGCTTGTCGGTCAAGTTGTTCTTGCCAAGTGCCTCGTACAGTGTTATTTGCTGCCACAAATCACAATCATGGAAGTTCACACAATGTGCAATTGCTGATTGTTATTTATTTATTTATAATTTTATGAGGAGGGTAGCCCAGGCATGCTCTGGATATGTTAATGCTTGTAACTTGAAAATTCCGTTATTCTAAATCCCGACATCTTGGTCCGCATCATCACGGATATAATTGATAATTTGAAAAGAATTTTACAGTAATTGAAGTAAAACACGTTCATATACCTACATCCAAATGAAACTCCCGTTTAGGTAGTGAATTTTTATTAAAAATGTAATGGATAATTGAATTTTTTATTTTCAGGTAAAATCTATAACTACGAAAATGAAGATCACTTTAAATATTTTAAACTAACTCTCCTCTACAAAGGTCACAGAACTCCACTGCGAAAAAATGTACTTCACATGATATATAATGGCGCGATATATATAGGTATCGTCCCCCCTTCATATATACGCCGGAAGCTTTCAAAACGCAAATTGTGACAAATATATCTAACTTGCTAAAAAATGTTAATTTAAATTCACTACGTACCATAAGAGAATTATAAAATTTCTAGTTAAACTAAAACCAAGTTAAGCATAAATCTCTAAATGATTACAGTATTTTGCTAAAAAAGAGGGTATTAAGGGAACCCTCGCTTGAAATTTACCCTCTAGTTAATTTGCATTGATGTCCTCAAACTTTCAGGTCCATTTAAACGATTAAGCTCCATGGGGATAAGAGACGGTGGCAGTTATTCGATCATATCAAATTTTATTTGATCCTAGTATGAGACGATCACTATAAACCATTGTCCAATAAAACATGCCAGCTTTCAAAATTCATAGAGTACCTAGGTATAAGAAACACAAAATAAAGCTTAAATTCAACGAAAATGTTTAACATATATAAAAATTCTGTCCCAGGCGTGGCTTGGGATCGATAATTTATACAGTTAAGAATCCCGTTAATTATAATAAAACTGATATATGCAATATAATTGATTCAAGACTTTTACAGTCTCACATTTTTCTTCACCACGAAATTCCTATGAGATTCTCGTTACAAAATGTGAAAAGTTCTCTTTTTTTCTCACAAATCAAATTCATATAACAATTTAAATATAAAATTCAAGTTTTTGTTATAATTTTCCCCTCATTTTACTACAATCCTTTCATACTCTCCCACTATGAATAAATTTTCAGGTCCAGCGGCACCAAGCTTCAAACACACTAACTTGGACTGATATTTGCGTGAAATATAGGTGCAGAATTTGTTCTAGCGTCTAGAATTTGTTACTATATCCATTTTAGGAGTAGCAGTCATTCCTTGAATCTTGAAAAATATTCAAATACATTTGAAAATATGGCACATTATCTAAAATCCGGTTAAAACTAAATCTTTACCTCATCATATTTCATACTGTGCTCACACCTTATTTACATTGTAATGTTTTAACTTCGCCTGGCCGATATGTTTTTAATGATGCCGGACTCGATTGATGAAAGAATCGTGTAACACGTGAGTATATTATATACGCACGTGTTACACGATTATTACATTATATTATATTTACATACATGATATTATACTGTTAAATTATATTATATTATACTAAATTTCGACGTGATTAGAAAAATGGTTTTAGCTCGCAAATTTCTTAACAGCTTCGCGATTAAATCGTTGCTCTCCATAAGAGTTGAGATGCGGCAGATTGATATAAAAACGTATTACACTACATTAAACCGTTTATATTGAGTGAATCTTTTTCATTCTTGACGTCATACGAACATACCCACTCGCAGAAGTTATATTGAATAGCGCCACAACAGAAACATTAATAAAAACGGACGAACGGTTGCAATGAGGCAAACCATTTCTTAATACGTCGCGGTTTATAAACGATAGATTTTAGTGCAGCTATTTTTCCTTTAAGATTTAATTTAAGAATTGAAAAAAGAGAGCTTCTTGTTTTGAAGGACAGTTTTAACTTCGCTGTACATCACAGCTGGTTTGTAAGCGGCAAGAAATTTTTAGACACCGTAATTGAGAGTTATATTTGTTTTGATAATCATTCAGACAATTTCAATTATTTTAATAATAGCTGAAGAAATTGGATTATTTTTCGACATGTGACTTTCTAATTATTCGTTGTTATGAGGCTCTCATTTGTGTTGGTCTCGTGAACAGTAACGCACAGTATGGCTAAATTCCTCGTTTCTTTTTTATAACACATGATATTCTTGAATTCTTTGAGTGAAAAATATCATCTACGGGAATGATAAGTTCACTGTTCTTATTTTCAAAGGGAGCTTGGGCTCAGGTGTCAAATTTGTTCGGAGTGTGACAGATTTCCATGGATTATGTTATATATAATGTCAATTTTAGACCGGTGAGAAGATTAATGTACAAAATTTATCAGTACTCATCAACTGTTAATTCTGTTTCTTTTTTTCTTTTTCTTCTTCCATTCTCTGCAATTTCCTATTTTCCCATGAAACAAAACTTCGCCCGCACGGAAAATACAACTACAGCAACACATTCTGAACCTCGCATTCCTGGGCTATGATATTATACCAGTATAAAGTATACTGGTATAATGTAGCTCAGCCGTAATACCAGTAATAGCGTTATACCAGAGAGCCATGATACCAGTATAACGTTATACCTACTGGTATAATATAGGTGAGCCATAATATAAATAATATAATAATATAGCGGTTTCAGCGTTAGTAGGCCGTAGGCCTGTCGCCGATTCTTAACGTCGCAGAACATTCACAGCTTCTTGCGATCTCGACTCGCAACTCACTGCTACAATTCTGCTGCGCTTAACCGCCCGGCCTCCTCGCCGATTCTGACCAGAAACCGGCGCACAGAGCTGGGATCGAACCCGCGACTCTGCGACAATCTTGGTACTCTGAACTGTAAACACTGGGCCAGTAATGACGGTAGACCAGGGAGTCATGATACCAGTATAATTTTATACCACGCATCCCCCTGGGGAAGACGTGACGGCATTATTATCATCACTGAATGCTTCTAATCCTCATATTCCTCCCATCCCCTGCCCGTGGGGAAGACGTGATGACATTATTATCATCACTGAATGCTTCTAATCCTCATATTCCTCCTCCTCCCCAGCCCGTGGGGAAGACGTGATGAGGGGGGACTAGGTGGGGACTAGGGGGGACTGGGCAGTGACTAGTGGGGGACTAGTGGACGACTAGTGCGGGACTACTGCGGGACTAGTGTGGGACTAGTGCGGGACTAGTGGACGACTAGTGCGGGACTACTTCGGGACTAGTGTGGGACCAGTATGGGACTAGCTAGCGGGGGACTAGTGTGGGACTAGCGGGGTACTAGCGGGGGACTGGTGCGGGACTAGTGGGCGACTAACAGGGGACTAGTGGGGGACTGGGGGGACTAGCGGGGCCTAGGGGAACTAGGTGGGATATAGGGCTAGTGTGGAACAAGTGTGGACCTAGTGTGGGACTAGTGTGAGACTACTATTGGACTAGCGGGGGACTAGTGTGATTGTAATAGTCGTTGCCATACATGAATATCATTATTCATCACCTTTATGATGATATCCAGTGACACTAAAGTGTGTTGATGACATCACCACATGGTACTATAATATAACAATGAAGCAACATAGCCATAATTAAGATGCTTAAAATAAACCAACGCGAGACAATAACGTGAAACTCGAACTCCATGCTCCAGATCAGGAGCTGCTATCTCCAAATGGAGCCGTGCAAGCTGCCGCGGACTCCACGGAGCGTGACGCGGAGCACGAAGACGAGGAGGACGACCACGAACTCCACGAAGAAGACGATCACGAAATGCACGACGACGAACTCTGCGAGACTGACGACGAGGCCGGCGAGCTGGACACGGAGGGACGGTGTCGCAAGCGCAAGCGACGCATACTCTTCAGCAAGACGCAGACCTACGAGCTCGAGAGGAGGTCTGTAAAGTCTGCTATAGTGAGGTTATGGTGCAGACCTACGAGCTCGAGAGGAGGTCTGTAAAGTCTGCTATAGTGAGGTTATGGTGCAGACCTACGAGCTCGAGAGGAGGTCTGTAAAGTCTGCTATAGTGAGGTTATGGTGCAGACCTACGAGCTCGAGAGGAGGTCTGTAAAGTCTGCTATAGTGAGGTTATGGTGCAGACCTACGAGCTCGAGAGGAGGTCTGTAAAGTCTGGTATAGTGAGGTTGTGGTGCAGACCTACGAGCTCGAGAGGAGGTCTGTAAAGTCTGGTATAGTGAGGTTGTGGTGCAGACATTCGAGCTCGAGAGGAAGTCTGTAAAGTCTGGTATAGTTTATGAAGTTATGGTGCAGACCTATTAGCAAGAAAAGAAGTACTCTACCTGTCATTCCACTGCCACTCACAATATAAGTTTTTTCCAGCTGCTAGTTGCGGCCACTAACCTAAGTTCAGAAAATTTAAGGGTCATCATGACCGAATAGTAACACACTTTTTCTGTCGTTACCTGTATTTCACTCACCACGTTACCTGTATTTCACTCACCACGTTACCGGTATTTCACTCACCACATTACCGGTATTTCACTCACCACATTACCGTTATTTCACTCACCACATTACCGGTATTTCACTCACCACGTTACCGGTATTCACCGTAACAGGTTCCGACAGCAGCGCTACCTGTCAGCGCCCGAGCGGGAGCACCTGGCGTCGCTGATTAACCTGACGCCCACGCAGGTAACCTGCTACCTTGGGGATTTACAATTAGATAATCCTCAAAGATTATGTAATTTAACATATTATAATGGATTATTTGAGCCCTTAAGTATTCATGTAATTTAACATATTATAATAGATATATAATTGAGCCCTTAACCATTGAGCTATCTGGCAGATAGTTATTTGACTATTTAGTACCTGATAATTTGACTGGTCAAACTTATAATGCAAAGTAATTAATCTCTTTATGACTGAACGATTTGATTCTTGTCAATTAATCGAATTAATCCCTATTAATTCGGCGTAGAAAATAATTGTTTGAGAAGGACTAAACCCTCTTAGATTATATAATTTAACATTTAATGATATTTATCGAGCTCTAAAATAGTGATTATTCATTCCTAAATTATTGGACTCGTCATCCTTCTATCATATAATAACTAATCCCGTCATGAATGAATGATTTAATTCTTAATATTTTACGAAATTAATTACTGAAGGCCCGCTAATTTCCCTTTATTAATTTAAAGTCTGTAAAGTCTTTAATGACTGAAGAAACTAAATTTTAACTGCGTCAGGATATACGCCTGTTTAACACAATATTATTTTAAAATATTAATCAATTCTTAATTCCTCGACCTGGTTAGTAAGTAATTTTGTCATAGAGTAAACGATTCACAACATTCACCCCTAATATATTTAATCGGATTTAACATTAAATAATTGAATAAATCTCAACGAAACTGCGTAAAATACTAATTAAAAAAATCTTCTTTTTCTTTTAGGTTAAAATTTGGTTCCAGAACCACCGCTACAAAACCAAGAAGCTGTTCCGCGAAAAAGGCTTTTCCTCAGGCCTTGACAGCCCTTACTTGAGCTCAGGTTTGGCCTTAAGGCGGTTACCCCTTGTGGTCAGGGACCGCTTGGCATCAGGGCTCCCTCAGTGTAACCCCAACCCTACAACCCTGGGCACCAGCCTCCACCCAGACACCAACCCTCTAGGTTTACACTCATCCTTGTCCCTACAATCGACCCCTGTAGGGTTCCCAGGGCTACTCTCAGGGTTGTTTGGTTCCCCGGTGTTGCGTCACTGTTCCCCTTTATCGGTTTCAGGGTTGCCTGGGGTTACGGGGCTACACCCTGCTTTAGCAGCTTCGCTTTTATTCCCCCATCATCATCTTTTACCACATGCTACCTTGCCTCCCTCTTCCCTCTCTTCGTTATCTTGTCCTTCCCCTTCTTCGTTAACGCAAAACCTCTTCACGCCCGTCTGCTCGATGGCGTCGTCGTCCTCCAGACTCTTAACGTCCACGTTGCAAAGTTGCGTTTCGTTGCCGAATTCCCTTAACATAACCGCCCCATCGGCTGGGGAAACGTGCAATGAAGCACTCACTCCCATTAAATGTTCCTCCCCTTCTTCCCCAAGCGATCGACCAATTTCCCCAACCAAATGGTGACATCAAGAGGACGCCCTAACGCCTGAAGATGAAAATCCTTCTTGAATTTCTTCACTTTTTAAGATGCTCATGGGAATCATCTCATAATTTGTAAATTCTGTTGACTTTTAAAATAATATTTGTGCAAATGAAGTAGATTTTATATGCACAATATAATCAGTAGATTTGTGTAAAAGATTATTAAATGCCGCAGTAGAGCTCAGGAAAAATTTTATTGTGGATCTTTAGCAAATGTAAATTTTAATATAGAAGTTATGTTCAGAAATTTCGGAATATTTAGGAACGTTTTGTCAGTGAAAGGAGTTTGAGCTATTGAAAAGTATCTGCAAAATTGTTGTTAAAAGTCAATGAAAAAGTAATTTCAATGAAAAAGTGAGCCGCCAGTTTGAAACACATGCATTGGAATTGGACGCAACGGCGTACAAAAATGAGAAAATAAAAGCTCATCTATAATCTCTCCAAAAAATTATAATTCTCCGCCGGATTTTTCAGGAAAATTTTGCAAGCCACTAAAGTTTTACTTTATTTTTCAAATAATGGCAATGTAAATGATTTCAATATCCGCTGAAATTATACGCTATGTGGTTATAGGAAGTTTTTTCTTTTGTGAGAATGCGTTATACATCAGAAATGTATGAACTCCTCTATAATATTTAATATTGTGCCATCACTAATATTTTTTTTCATGAAATGGTGCGCAGAATCTTTTTTTGGTGCACAAAACACGTTGGCGTTATTAAAGATTTTTCAGCATTTGTATTTAAGAACTCTTAGCCATGAAGAGTGATGCGTGACAAATATTTTATAGTGTTACACATTTTACGAGTTGTGGCACATTGTGGGGTAAATGTCAGTCATTACCTAAAATGAATTTCACGCCACCTCCTGATAACGCCTTTGGTAAAGGAACGATAATGGTGGATAATGGATATGAATTTATATAAAAATTTACATTATTTTGCTGATTGATTTGCAGTGACAATAATAGAACAATAGTACGACAATGTTATAACAATAGTACAACAATAATTTAAAAATGACAAAATGGTGAAGGCAGACTTGTTTCCATGTCTGCGTCGATGTTGATGGCTTCAATACTGGATAAATTCTGCATTCATTATTGGAATAAAACTTCTCTAATCATGTAGATATCCATCGCCACGTTTATATTGGCAAAATATTGTAAAAAATTCCAAACTCACTGTATAATGCACCATTACTGTAAATATCCAAAGTCCAGTAAATACTGCTTAACTATTATATAGATCTTTTCTCGGTATATAATGCACCTATGATAAAAACATTCTAATTAAGCCCTGTATATACACTCCCAGAATAATATTCATATCCCAGTATATACTGCCTCGTTTCCGGGAGCACTGCCAATTTACACGTGAAAAAAATGTAGATTGACATTGAGACTTTAAAATAAATTTTTATTTTGACATTAAATTGCCGATGAATTAAGAAATTTCGACATAAAATTGATCATAGTTAGAGCGTCTCGCTGAAAATGTGAGCGGTATTTTGCACAATCCAAAACGCTTCAAAACATTTGCTGAAATTGCAAAACACGCACGTACGTGGGGTGAAATTGTCGAGCTCCTATTTGCTTTGCATTAGAATTTGCACATTTCTTCACAAATTGTACAGTCGGTTAATGTCCCTAATTGTACAGTCGGTTGATGTCCCTAATTGTACAGTCGTTAGTCTATGTAAGCTTAGCTCTCTTGTACAATCGCAATCTATTGTTAACCGCTTAGCCGCTCAATAAAATATTCAATTCTGGAAATAATTTCATTATCCTGCTTAAAATTGTAAACTGAATGCCTTTAATTTAATTGAAGCAAATGGTTAAATACTTTTTAATTACTTACCCTTTCTTGTATATAAACTGAATAATATTGACGCATATAAGCATTAAGCGAGCTTTTACGCACGTTTTTTATGGGAAAAAATTACACTTAACAGTTAGGGAAAAACTCATTGCTTTAAAACTGATTTCAGAGACGATATAATATTTGAAGATACGAATAAAGAAATGACGTAGAATCCATTAAATAGCAGTAAAGGGCTAGAACATTTAATAAATATTAGTACATGAACTCCACAACAACGATCTGCACCGATACTAGTGGCAGTAACGATACTAGCGGCACCGATACTAGTGGCAGTAACGATACTAGCGGCACCGATACTAGTGGCAGTAACGATACTATACCGATACTAGTGACAGTAACTGTACCCGCGCTACCGATACTAGTGACAGTAACTGTACTCGCGGTACCGATACTAATGGCAGCTAGTAACGGTACTCGTGATACCGTCCCCAGTATCTGATCCAGTATCTGGAATTCAGTACCCTAATCACTCCTATAAAAAAGCTGGTAATCGATATGGGTAACCCAGCACCAACCCAGGAAATGAGTGTATTTAAAAGGCGCTAAATAGAAGGTAATCCGCGCCGCGGCCGCGGATTAAGACGCGTCCGTGAAGAAAATCCTTTAGCGCTTCCGCCGCCGCGGCGCCTCGCGTCATTGCGCCTCTAAAGGCGCATTAGGCGTGTAACAAGCGCCTCACAATGGCCTCTGTGCGCCTCCTGTGTGCGTGAGGCGTCGCATGTTCATGTACGCAGCGTGTGATGCAAGACACTGTACAATGACACTCCGTGATGCAGGACACTGTACAATGACACGCAGTGATGCAGGACACTGTACAATGACACGCAGTGATGCAGGACACTGTACAATGACACGCTTTATAATTCTTCATAGTACACAATTATACGCATAACTGCACCGCAGTACAATAGTGCACAATGGTGCGGTGTGACTGCGGTGCACAGTTCAGTTGTGCTGCACAATGTGCTCTGTTCGTACGTGTGTACTGAAGATCGTGTACGCCATTCGTAATCACTAATCCATCTACAAAGAAAACAATTACGAATACGAACGAATCATTTGAGACTGCAAAGAATTATTGGCTAACGAATCACGAATAGAACAAGTCACGGCCGCGAATGAGTGTAACGATATTTGCGACAACTAATTACAAATATTGGAATATTATCAATACTTATCCGCCTGATTTTCCATATGAAAAATAAAATATTAAACGAGCAACCGATAATATGTCGGCCATAGAAAAAATTTATTCCAAAGTATGGGACCGGATGAGCAGCACTTAATTGCTGCTAATTTTATCTCCGCCTAATAAATAACTCTTTAATTCATAACCAATGAGAGTTTATTTGAGGTCAGTTATTTATATTTCCATTAGATTAAAATATCAAACAAACGTGAATGTACTCACAATGTTCTTCATCACTCATTTATACACATTCCACCGTATACATTCCATCACCTCCTAATCATTAATTATTCAAGTAGATGAGAATTACATCTTCACACTTTACACCGTATCACTCAACTCTCGCATAAATCTTCCCCTTACTCACCATATCACTCAACTCTCGCATGAATCACCCTATTACTCACCGTATCACTCAACTCTCGCATAAATCACCCCCTTACTCACCATATCACTCAACTCTCGCATGAATCACCCTATTACTCACCGTATCACTCAACTCTCGCCTGAATCATCCGTTTACTCACCGTATCACTCAACTCTCGTATGAATCTCCCTTCTACTCACCGTATCACTCAACTCTCGCATGAATCTCCCTTTTACTCACCGTATCACTCAACTCTCATCTGAATCACCCTTATTCTCGCCGTATCACTCAACTCTCGCCTGAATCACCCTCCTACTCACCATATCACTCAACTCAGGTATGAATCACCCCGTTACTTACCGTATCACTCAACTCTCGCCTGAATCACTCTTTTACTCCGTGTATCACTCAACTCTCGCCTGAATCACCCTTTTACTCACCGTATCACTCACCTCTTGCCTGAATCACCCTCTACTCACCGTTTGACTCAACTCTCGCCTGAATCAACCCGTCACTCACACCTCCCACCCCCCCGTTCCCTCTCAGCAACTCTCTGACGCTGCTAAGCTCCGTGCAAAATCCCTGGGAAAAACTGTTCCAAATTTCCCACGCCGATGATGACACAAAATGAAGTCTGTCAACGCACTTCTCGTCCACACGCCTCGAGGGAAATTTCTAGCCAAACATCATGGGTGTCACATGGGAGGCCAACGATTGGCCGACCGTGTCGCGTATAATAAGACAGTGGCAGGATTATGCAATTTTAGTTTTACTCATCGAAAATTTTTGTGTAGAGTCAGTGGCCCCCAGTTGGTCATTTGCAGGTCATGGATTGAGAATATAATTAATTTATTAAAGTAATTTTTAAGTTACCTCCTAATACAACGGAAAACGAGATGAGATACATTAATAAATTTATGCGTGAAAATCCAGCTCCAACAATTGGCGGCCAGTTACATGTATTAAAGATTTCTGATAATCTTGATTGACAAACGAATTGCCACATAACCAACACAACACCTTTGACAGAAACCTTTATAGCGACCAGCAATCACAAACAATAGAAGACCAAAATATTTCTATATTTCAAAGTGACATGAACTTGGACTCTAATCTAATTAGCTTACTTAAAAATATAAGTAGTTATAAAGAACATCCATACGACGATCTGCAACTAGTCTACGGTTCAACGGGAATTTCAACTTGAATATTTTTCTGGGATAAAATAAAGGGATCAGTTTAACACTTTAACTGATCACTGTAAGTAGAGTGTGGGAGGAAGTGAAGACAAAAATTACAAAGCGAAAAAATGTGTTCGACACTTTAAACATCCTGCTACTCATACACGCAAAATGTTCATGGTATATGCCCGACATGCCAGAGACGACGAGAATCTCAAATGAAAAATATTTGCTGGTACAGAAAGTTTCAGAGTTTCGGTATTTTTAAATTTCTGACAATTTTTCTGTCATGGTGGAGGCTCAAGGCGAGAAAGACTCTTTGTAAACGCAGATCATGGGTGCTCCATGTGCTATAAGGAGTGCTCCATGTGCTAGAAGGAGTGCTCCATGTGCTCCATGTACTAGAAGGGGGGCTCCATGTGCTTGAAGGGGTGCTCCATGTGCTAGAAGGAGTGCTCCATGTGCTAGAAGGAGTGCTCCATGTGCTAGAAGGAGTGCTCCATGTGCTCAATGTACTAGAAGGGGGCTCCATGTGCTAGAAAGAGTGCTCCATGTGCTAGAAGGAGTGCTCCATGTGCTAGAAGGAGTGCTCCATGTGCTCAATGTACTAGAATGGGGCTCCATGTGCTTGAAGGGGTGCTCCATGTGCTAGTAGGGGTGCTCCATGTGCTCCATGTGTTTCATGTGCCAGAAGGAGTGCACCATGTGCTCCAAGTACTAGAATGGGTGCTCCATGTGCTAGAAGGGGTGCACTATGTGCTCCATTTACCAGAAGGGGTGCTCCGAGTTCTCCATGTGCTAGAAGAGGTGCTCCATGTGCTCCATGTGCTCGAA